GATGCATGTCATGAATGTGTATATGTTGGATGCATGCCATGAATGTGGATATGTTGGATGCATGCCATGAATGTGCATATGCATTGATTGAAGAGCAGCTCACTGCCCACATACCTCTCCCATACCACTCAGCACGCGCTCGCCGGACTCCGCGTCGACGTGAACATGGAAACTTGGATCTTCGCGCTGAAGCAGGGATGAAAGTGAGTTGACTATGAAGAGGAAACAAACGTAAGTAGGGAAACAACTGAAATATACAGTCATATACATATAGGTTTACAGATGTATACATGTATGCAGATTTTTTCTTTGTCTTATGTACTGCTATATACGCAAGTACATATGACCAATATACAGGCCCAATCACAGACTTCAGATAAAGAAGTAAAAGTGCACATACGCAATCCACCTCCCTGAACGAAAGCGTTGATATACAGATCATATCATGAAGACCAGATATATGTGCTTATGCTAGCAAACCGACAAGTGCGCTGAGAGCAAAGCCAGAATAATGTAGGACGATGTCGTACAAGACAGTAACCGTGCTCAGCCGCACGACGTTTAACGTGTCATCTTCTCAATGGCCCCCCGCCTCCAATGTGCACACGAACACTGGCATTCACACCTAAACCGTTCGATATACAACAAAAAAAAACAGACTAAACATGACAATGAAATATAAATCAACAAACGTGATAAGACTACCTAAAATTGTGCGAGCACGACATAACACCTATTCATGCTTTCCTCTCCAAGGTGCCCATGAACACGTATTATAACACAACCAGACTTCCGGGATCAGACAAACATATTACAACGCCAACCAGATATACACCATTGTCAGATACAATAAATACTATAAGTCTATGTGAGAACTGTGCGAGTACCATGTTGGAAGCCTCAATGTCGTATGAACTAACAATCGTGCCAAGCCTACCTGGAACTGTGCGAGTATGACGTCCAACGCCACGTAGTCTTTGTTTTTCTCTGCATTCAGCGTGCACATGAACACGGGGTGATATCACGCGAAAACTTCGGTGTCAAACAAATATAAAAACCGTAAACAAAATACGACAATATCGTATGAATTAACAACCGTGTTAAGCCTACCTGGAACTGTGCGAGTACGACGTCTAACGCAGCATCGTCTTTGGTGCTCTCTGCCTCCAGTGTGCACATGAACACAGGTGATGGCACACTTAGACCTTTCAATTTGTACGCGAAATGCGGTGCTAGAATTTTAGCTCCTCCACCGGTATTCATGTTCCTTTTCGGAGGCACAACTGTATTGGTTTATACAAAGGAAGATATGGTATCGTATTAAGTTCCTAGTATATCTATATGCCGATTACGAGGTGAGCCGTAGTAGATTTCAAATACAATGCGAGTGTTAAATTCAGGTTTAGCGGAGCTAGCAGAGACACGCGACATAATTATTTAAGTCGAGTATAAATATTTGTGTTCGTGTATATAGAACTACTAAGCCAAGTATTTGAATTCAACAAGAAGCTTGGGAAAACACGGCCCACACACACACACACACACACACACACACAACAAACACACACACACAC